CTACAGCAAAAATCATTTTAGAGTTGGAATGAAGTTGGAAGGAATAGATCCGGAACGTCCTTCTCGATATTGTGTTCTGACTGTTGTCGAGGTTGTAGGTAAGTTGTTATGAATAATATGTATATAATGTAGTATAATAATATGAAATCTATAATAAATGATGTGTAATATGCAGGTTATCGAATGCGTTTGCATTTTGATGGTTATCCGGAAAATTATGATTTCTGGGTAAATGCAGATAGTATGAATATATTTCCTGCTGGTTGGGCTGAAAAGAATGGCAAGAAATTGGACCCACCAAAGGGTTATGTAACTGGCAATTTTAATTGGAATGCGTATCTAAAAATTTGTAAAGCGACTGCAGCAGCGAAGAATATTTTTCCAAATAAAAGCGTGTTGCAAACTGTTTTTCCTACGGGTTTTCGGGTGGGCATGAAGTTGGAGGCAATAGATAGGAAGCATTCTTCATTGTTATGTGTTGCCAGCATAGCAGGTTTGATGGATTCCCGAATATTAGTCCACTTCGATTCCTGGGACGAGGTGTATGATTACTGGGCCGATGCCAGTTCACCGTATATTCATCCTGTAGGATGGTCTCATCACAATGGACGTCTTTTGATGCCACCAAATAGTAAGAAATTAAATTAATTGATATTAATACTCTTTACAATTCATTTATATTCTCTTGTACATAATTATAATGTGTAAATAATATTATAATTATAATGCAATTAGATTATAAAGATTCCAAATCTTTCACTTGGGATGCATATCTGAGAGAAACCGGTACGACGGCTGCACCATCTAGAGCGTTCAAGCAACGACCACCTTGTGCATTCAAACGTGGCATGAAACTGGAAGCGGTGGATAAACGAGTCCCTCAACTAATTAGAGTAGCAACAGTTGAAGATGTGAAAGATCACCAGTTTGTATTGATCACACATATTTATATTTTACCTATTTCTTATTTCGCGAGATATATATAATAACTATGTATTTTATATATATAGGTTGAAAATAAGATTCGATGGTTGGCCTGAGACTCATGCCTATTGGGTTGATGATGATTCACCTGATATTCATCCTGTGGGCTGGTGCTCAAAAACCGGTCACCCACTGGAACCACCACTAAGTAAATATTCTTTTTATTTTGCATATTACAAAATATTATAATTTATGCAATGTTATTGATTTATTTTGTTATTGCGTAGCGCCTGATAATTTGAACGATCGACCGGAATGCGGTACATATGGCTGCCGAGGTGTAGGACATGTAAAGGGACCTAAATTTGCAACACATAACTCTGCATCCGGTTGTCCGTATTCTCTTCAAAATCTAAATAAATCAGTACAGATGCCTGATAGACTTAGTTCGTCAAGACACGACGCCTATGATTTTGAAGAGGAAATACAAGAAAAACCGAAATTAGAGAAGACTGACAAAATAAAAATGGAAAAGTGCGAAAAATCTGATAAACTTTTATTCACAGATGACAGATTATTGATAATTGAGAAGGAGATTAAACAGGAAGATGGAGATTTGTCCGATAAGAATGACAAATTTGAAAATAGATCAGAAAATTCAGAAAAGTATGTAAAATATAGCAAAATGAAATTGAAATGAACATCAATATGGTGAATGGAATAAATATTTCTTATTGATATTGTTGTTTTATAGATCAAGCAAATCCAAACATCTGCATAGTGATGGACAAACGGATGATGATGAAGTTTCGAGAAAACGAAAGAAAAGGTTTGTTAGAAAAATATTGAATTTTCTTTTCTCGTCTCTATTTATATTTATATGAAATTATAATTTATAAAATAAAATTTTAGACGTCCAATTTCGGAAGATTCTTTGTTTTCCGTTTCCAATATTACATACAATGATCTGCATTGGAATCCTGCTCCATATGCTGCAAATATGCCAGATAAGCAATTGCGTAAAGAATTGTATCAATCTGTATATAATCCTGGATATAATCCATTGCCAAATGCACCACATGTATGGGCGAAACATAGCAATGCTTTAAACAGAATAGTAGCGAGGCAGACCACAAATCCACGACGATGGTCTAATGAAGAAGTGATTAAATTTATACAGAGTATGCCTAATTGTGCAGAAGCTGGGAATGTCTTTAGACAGCACGTAAGTTTTAGAACAATTGCAGTAATAAAAACTGAAATAGTTTGTTAACTATTAAAGTTATATTGTATTATATTCACACATTGTATATTATTTTGTAATATCTTCGCATTGCAGAATATTGATGGCGAAGCATTTTTAATGTTGACACAAGAGGACTTAGTATCAGTACTGTGTCTACGACTTGGGCCTGCAATTAAATTGTATAATAGTATAGTTTTATTACGTCAAAAAGCATCATGAATTATGCATGAGCAAAGCATGTGTTATTGACTGGCGAATCATGGAATATGGCAGCTATTGTGATGAAACATCGCCTATTTAAAGTTTAATAAGGTTACATAACAGACATTTTTTGCTAATAAATTTCAGAACTGTGTCGCTTCTTTAATGCTATGCCAATAAACAAGCTGGAAAGGAACGAGATAAAAACGTGAGCGTGTCATAAATACGTCTAGTTAAACAGTTCTGAAATATTCATTTCAAATTTAAATCGAAATTTGAGAAAGAAAGATAATTATTGCAAAATTGGAAAATGCTTTTATAATGTATGTTTTAATTTGACGATTTTGTATATCGATTGTATTGATTGTGATATGTACGATAATTCAGAATCATGCATTGCTCATAAGTACTTACAATCATATGACATAATTTTTCGTATAAAATAAGTGTATTGTGGATCGTGTGTACAAATGTAAATATTGTTTTAATCATTAAGTATTGTAATAAAATACTTATGCAATCTTTCCATCTAATCATGCAACGTATATTTCTAAACTTAGAAATCAAATTTATTTTACATAAAAAGCAACACATAAAAGTAACTGATATTTAAATATTATATTTAAGATATTTCTATTTTTTTATACATTTTTTACACATTTGTACGATTTTTTTTCGAATAATTAGATTTATTCTTTATCGAACGGCCAACACCGGATGGTACGTATCGAACTCCGTATTTCTCGCGGTTATTACTGTTTAAAAGTAAGTTTCGTGCGATACGCTATTATTATTTCAATATCAACAATTCGGTTTCATGTGTCCGGAATTAATCGAAATTCTATTTTACCTTGTTTGTCGCCGATGTATATTAAAAATGCAATTGTAAATAATATACAATTATCGCTGGGTATATACCGTCGTATAATTAATCACATTGACACATATTTTGCATTCTTATTACTAAAAATATTAATTTGAAATTGCTATTATAACATATTTTGATAATATATTTAATATTTAGTTCAATTATAATAATCAAAAGAATACATTTTTACATTTTTATATATACATGTCTGAAAATTTTATCTTTTTATCTTTACATATTTGAAATATATTTCCACGAATATTTTTATCTTATTTTTGCTACAATCAAATAATATTGCATGATTAGAATAATCAGTTATATATAATATGATAAACTTGTGATTTCTTTTTCTTATAATATATTAATTAAACTTATATATATATTTTTTTTTTTCATATAGAGTCAAATATATATGGGTAATGTATATATCCGTCATTGCGATGTTACCGACGAACAGCTATAAGGATCTTATCCTTATAGGCATACACCGAATCCATTTAGTATATATAGTTACATTTTATTCAGTGAAATTTTGATAGAATTTTATAATCACAGTTATAATTTTATCAAGCATAATGTGTATCGTGATTATTAAAATGTGTGTGTGTGTGTGAATATTAATATTCGATATATATCTTCACGAATATTTGCAATCAATTTTTTCTAAGTTCGACTGAAGGTTTATTATCTACTGTCGCTCTCTGTAGTATTATTATTATTTGAGTGAGTTGCAATGTATATATTATATATTATTAGTATATAATAATATTATTGGTATATTATTGGTATGCGTGTCTGACATATAATATATAATATATATTTTTCATATATCAATAATCATTAATATACATGCAATTTTTATTAAATTGGAACAATCGGGAGATTATGATAAAGATTTGTAAAGTTAAGCTGTTATTTAGACAATCGTGAACAAATATTTAATTTATTATTATCTTATAAAAATACTGGTTTTTAAAAAAACGAATCTTCTACGATTACTGTTATGTATATTAATGACATGGACTCTTTTTATTTATAATACTATAATATTAAACTAAATATTATTTTTACAGAGCTCTAACATATATACGTGCATATCATGTCGTAGAAAAATTTTACTTTTTAACGCTATTATATATTGTTTGTATTAAACAATAATTAGCATTTTCTGCAATAATACGTTTTATATTCACACGCGCGCACACACACACACACACACACACAAGAACTTGGAGAAAGATTGCTGTATTCAATAATTAAAAATACAATTTTATTGATATTATAAAATTTGTTAATATCAAATAGACACTATTATAACGCTTTTAAAGAAATGCTTAAAATTTAAAAGAAAAATATAAAAAAGATGTTATTGTTTGGAAATACACGAGAATTTAATATAAATATAAATATTATGTATTTATTTAGAGAGTAAAGCATAACAAATCTCTGTTTTATTGAGAATGTAGTCTTTCTCCTTTTATCGAATAGCATCTTTCTCCTAGTGTATTTTCTACAAGAGATATTTAATTTGCAGAAAAGATAACGATTTACGAATCACTGGAATTTGAGATTTTTTTCAATCGGAATTTAATAATTATTTATGACACATATGTTTTTGTTGAAAAGCTTGCTCTCTTCGCGAATTCATTCACGAAAATTGCTTTTAGAACGATGTAATCAATTTAATTAACGCATAAAAGAAAAAGAGCAGTGCGTTATAGATTTTTTAAAAAATATTTAATAAGCTAAGTTGTTAATTTTTAATATATACACGCAAAATGCGTAATTTTGAATTAAACATAAATTCATAAGGCGATTCATTCAGCGATATATGTATATCACAATGAGAAATAATACGTATAGTATATAACGTTATATATGTATATACAGGGTGTCCCAAAGCACTCTTGACAACGCTTGTGAGCAGGTAGAGCACAGCAAA